TAGTTATTTAGTTTTTCAAAATCCGTTAAAATTGCATCTACATCTAAGTTTTTTACAACACTGTTTTTCATAAAATTAGATAAAATAAGTTTAACCCTCAAACCGGCAACTTTGAAATAGTGATCAGAAATGGTTGGGAATTTTTTTCTGGCATAACTTGGGCATGATAAACTCAATGTCGTCATCTACATACCATTTTGTCGCTTCGTTTGACTTCCAGGTGAGATAAACGAAACAGTGCCTCCAGGCACTCATAGCGGTTAAAGCAAAAAATATGAACATATAGAAATTTTATTAAGTACCAACGGTTTTATTCCAAAAAGTTTAGCAATGCAATGGAATCTAGAAAAATGTGTTACTTTTTTGAGTGCTATTCCAACAAGCAATTTTTTGTCGCAGTTCAAATAAATATAAATTGCATACTTCTCAAATACATTGAGTTTGCGACTTTTTACAAAATTCGCACCATTTTTTCCACTTTCTCGAGCCATTTAGGAAGTTGATTGTTACCATTGAAACGAACGTCATCAACATGATATACAGATTTTCTGCCAACACTCAGAGCAGCGGGTTGCGATTCATCTTGTGGAGTAGAAGATTGACTTGTTGAAGATGGGCCACCAACCGAACGCGTTTGAGTGTTGCTCACAAGACCAGCATAACGGATAAAAACGGCGGTCATTGCGTCCATCCCCATCTCGGAACGACGGGAATCTTTTTATGACTTCAAACCGTTTCAATGGCATCGTTTTGCGAATGGGTTCGAATGCATTCTTCATTAACTAGCTCTCTAAATTCGGGGAGCGATAAACTGACATGTATAAATGAATGCCGATGTACTGGCAGATATCATCGACATTCACATTGAATCTTAAGTTTATATTCTGATTAATGTGTAAAAAATTACGTTCTTTAACTTCCCAGTAATTTTTCTCTATGCACAATATATTTAATGTATAGCGTGTATATTTGCTTGTAGAATAAGTACTTACGCTCACACTTTATTCTGGTCGTGTAAATACTTGAGGTTACGGGGCTTATTGCAATGCTTGCAATTGCACAGAAGAGTTGATCTATTGCAACACGCACGCTCGCAAAGGCACCAAAAAAGCTGTAACAAACTTAAAACTTGCACATTATTGCCCTGGAATTTAATGGGCTATAAACTGAATACTCAAGAATATTCTAAAAAATCTGAATAAAATGTTGAAAATCTAGCTAAAACTTTATTGATTTATATTGTGTTTGTTATATAATGAGCTATGCTTTTTTGGAAAAATAATACATATTAAATAAAATAAAATAAAACCAAAATATTCAAATAAAAACGATTTTTACAACTAATCTTTTGAATAAAATTGAGTAAATATTTTTTCCGCTTTTCATTGACGGTAAGTTTTGTGGTACCTTTGCAGCCGAGTTCATGAAAAAAGCTCCGCTTCGCTTCGTTCAGTGTGGACACCAGCAGCTTCGCTTTATTCCGCCCTGCGCCCTTAATCAAAAGTGCATGTATAAAATGATTTTTATATTAAAGATCGGAATGAATTCGATTCTAATGAATTTTAAATGTGCTCTGTCGAAATGACATTTTGATATGCCTTACGTACATACATATGTACATTTGTATACAATACAAGTTTAATAAGAACAATTCTGTGTATATACATTTGGAAAAGACGTTTCTGGGCAGCAAATGACGTTTTTTCAGACCAAGAGGGACGTTTTCTCATGTGGAAGACCTGGCAACACTTACCGGATCAGAGCTAATACAAAATTGCACAAAGAGAAGACGAGAGTAAAAGGAAATGCCGAACAAATGAGTTTAGCTTCCCATCTTGCAAACAAAAAATGGTATGTTATATGTAGGGATGCCCAAACCAGCACATATGTGTCGCAGGCGACTGCGCGTGCAAAGCTTTGCACAGCGGTGCTGGCAAGCGAGGAAGCAAAGAGTTATCGGAAGGGTAAAATGAAGTCAACAGAATAGTGAGATTGTATGTGTGACAGTGATGG